GATGCTAGACTCATTCACCCAACAATCAAGGTTTTCACTACACGGTTAATGAGTAAAACAACCCTAGATCTAACGATAAGTGATCAAGTTACATGAAGCATTAAGAACTAGATGAATGAAGATACAATATTATTGCTTATCTATGTTTAGATCAAGCGAATAACATCCTAGAACCCTAGATAAGTCAGCGACTACTCAGCCATGGAACAAGATTACAAAGACATAATAACTGAATGATACTGCATAAAATTCCAAAGAGAAATGGGATGACCGCATAAAACCCCCTGTAAACACTATTGCCCTATCTATTCCCACCTATATTACCCAGCTCTTCATCAAACCACCCAGAATATAAAATCTCTTTACATTCCCCCATTCTTTTTAATTCTGCCGAAATCCCCATCTCTAATTCAACTTCTAAAAACGTAACTATAGATTTGTAAATCGTGTTTTGTATAAAGTGATTCCCCATTAAACAAAACCCGACCCGGTTCATAAACACCGGACCCGACTAAAATAAAAAAGAAATCAATTTGGGGGCAAATAAACATCTGGGTTGAGTTTGTCTCTCTTTCTCACGATACAACAACCACAAGAACAGAGAGATGGAGAGTAACGAGATCATAGAGAGAGAGAGAGAGAAACGAGAGAAGAGAGGGAGAGGCGAGAGAGAGTAACGAAGAAGACAAAAGCTTATAATGGAACGACAAACAACTGCGATTTCAGTTCTTTTACCTCTGTAAAAAATCAATTTAAACTCTAGTACGTAACAGCTGGTGCTTGAATACAACATTTGTCATCAACTATAATGGCCACATTGTGCTTGAATATATGTATGTAAATTTACAATACGTAACACCTGGTGACTCTAGTCATAGTTCTCATGATAAAGAAATATATGAACACAACAAGTTTGTTGTCACCGTTTTTGATCCTTGAAGCATCTGCAGATTTCTCTGAGTTATCGTATAAATCTATATATACTATTTGTCTTAAGAAATATTGTTAATGTTACATCGTAGCTTAGTGGAAGGGTAGTTGGGGTGAAAGCAATTTAACTTGGGTTCATCTTTTTTCTTTAGTTGTCTACTAAAGTTTCTGCAATTTTATCATCACACACATCTGTCAAGATCTATGAAATCTTGTGTTTTCTTATCACTTTCTCATTAAACTTGTAAATCTTACATATAGAAGTCAATTCCAATCATTTAATTTATTTTTCCCTCTCTGCTCTCGTTCCATTCTATCTCTCTCAGTTCTTGATGTTCTCCTATCGTGAGAAAGAGACGAACTTAACTGTCGTTTTAATTTACCCCTAATTGACGTTGTTTTTTTAATTGAGACAGGTAGGGTGTTTATGAATCTGATTTTTGGTTAATGAGGAATCACTTTTTACAAAATGCGATTTATAAATCTATAATTATCTTTATAGAAGTTGAATTAGAGAGGGGTATTTGGGCATAATTAAAAAGAATAGGGGGAGATATAAAGAGAATTTATATTTCTGGGTGGTTTGGTGAAGAGCTGCATAATATAGGTGGGAATAGATAGGGTTGTGGTGTTTACAGGAGGTTTTAGACAATCATCCCAAGAGAAATAGATAGGGTTCATGATGATCTTCTTCTCGAGAAGAGTAGCCGTCTCCCTTACAATAGAAAATCGCCAAAATACGTCTAGGTCTCTTGCAAAAACTAGCATAAGAAAAAAAGACAATGAAAGAGAGGTTTTTTATAAGGAGGCGCCCTCGGGTTCCAAAGAGGGAAAGAGACTAGGGTTCGTTTGAAAAGATACTGAAGTTTCCATAAATATCGAGAGCAGTCTTCTAATTGCTTCGCATGGATTGCTCGCGCTAGGGAGTAAGCATCTGACTGCTCCGTATGTTTGCTTCGCGTGACAAGACCCTGATATTTGGTTTGGTATTGCTACCGCACATAAATTCGAGAGTCATGATGATATTACTGAAGAACGTCTTTACGAAGCATTCTCTCATCTTCCTTCATGCACCTTCCTTCAGCTCCATAGCCTTCCATATGACCTGAATTGACTCAAAACAACTAGACTGACTCAATAAAACACTGAAAACCAGTTAGAAAACATATATACAATAGTGCTAAAAACACTATATATCAATAGGCATCTCAAATTTTTCAGTTCGTCCTCGTCAGGATCCAATTCGACAAGATCTAGTTTGGCACTTTCTAGATGGTCCTTGGCATAATGCTTCTCGGCATTCCCAAACAGTCCTCATCAAGATCCTTCTCAGCGATATCAAGTTCGTCGTTAGGATTCAACTCGGCAAGGTCCAGTTCGGGAACTTTCCACATGGTCCTCGTCATAATGCTTATCGAAATTTTCAAGACCATTCTTGTCGGAATCCTTCTCGGTGGTATCAAATTCGTCCTCGTCAGGATCCAATTCGGCAATGTCCAATTCGTCACCTTCCAATTCGTCCTCGGCAGGGTCTATCTCCATATTTTCCAGATCGCATATATCGTCTGATGCCAGTTCGGCCAAAAAAACAAAACAGCTCATGGAATTTGTTACGCATAGCTCATCACCATCTCGGCATAGCCTACTTCAAAAACAACTAGAATCATCACTGGAAAAGATAAGTCCATATGATCTTGTTTGTTAAATAAAACGAGATTCATTATTAAGCATAATATATATGAAAAATATCAAAAGAGTATTTATAATGAAACACCAATTATATGTTTTTAGGATGGATTGTGATCGGTGGCTAATAAGCCCAAACTGGGCCCAGCAACAAAGGTCATCTCGTCTTGAAGCTTCCCATCTCGCCATGAGCTTATCATCCTTTTCGCTTGTAAAAATTTGACAAAGCTCGAGGCTTGATCTCGGCGTAGTTCATGAGCAAGATCTCGGCATTATGATATGATCTTGCCATCTCGCCACACCATGAAGATCTCTGGTCCTGGATCAAGTATCGCCATGAGTTATAACTTGATCTCAGCAACGTTCACAGAGCGGTCATCTGCGACATCAGAGGGGTCTGTCTCTTCTTTATGACTATTCCTGTGAACTAGCCAAATCATGAAACTTGAAATCAGCGGTCTTGCATTCATCTCGGCGATTAGATCCATCTCGGCACCATCCAAACCACGACATGATCGTCAAAGCTTTTTAAGCTTCTCGTCACATTTCCAGCGAGCTTCTCATCACATGAAGTGTCCCTGCACATCTCCAGCAATTCTCTACAGAGTTCTTAACATGTCTTCAAGCTCCATAAACACAGCTGAGGGCCGAGTTGAGCTCTGTTCTTTTTTTTAAAAAAAGCTCAAAGTCTCGTGTTTCACTCTTAAGGTTTCTCCTCGCCATCACTCGCCTTTGCATTGGCGAAGCAACATCTCACAAGACCGATGTCAACATCACGTCAGTGACTGTGGCAACGTCAAGCTTCTTAAGCTTCTCATCACATCTCCAGAAAGCTTCAGAGACTTCTTGTCACATGAAGCTCCTTGTCACAATATAGAGCTGCTTCTTCAGCTATGTACAGATCAATGGAGATGATCTCTAGAGGAGACCTAAAAGGAACGCTCTGCGGATGTGCTAAATCAGTTCAGAACTGTGACATGGCGATGGTTGACTCTCAGCTACAGCAAATAGTTTCCGTTTCTGAGGGAACCAAACTCGCAAAACAAGCTCACATACCAGAGTTCCGCACAAGCCTCAGGAGGTCACTGCAAACTAGCAACCTCGCTACAAAGCCATCTCAGTATCTTACAATCTCTGTAGTTGAGAAGCATACGCACCGTTACATCTTCATCACGAGAAACGAGTTCACATCTTACTGAAACCGTTCTCGTTGGAGCTCGAGACTTGATCTCGCAAACATCTTTCATGAAAACCACACCAACCACAAGTCTCCAACTTAGGATCAACGTCAATATCTTTGGGTTCAAAACCCATAAGGCCCAAAGTTGGGCTCAACATGCTATACATGACTACATGCTATCGCGTCACTTGTTTTTTAAACCCACCGGTGACGACACCAATTTTATCTCTCATCGTCGAGGACCAATCTGAGCAAACACGATGTTTCTTCTCGGCGAAATCGGTGCGATGAGGACTATAATCAACCCTTCTCGATCCACAGCCATCCATCTCGGCACAGCGTCGAATAAGCACCAAGAAACTCGGTCACCGATTGTTACTTGGCATCTCGGCATGATCCAAGACACGACAGTCCCTGTGATATAGCCGAATCATCAAAATCGAAATCAGCGGTCTTGTGTTCATCTCGGCAGTTTGGGCTTATCATCCTCAAAAGATTTGACCTTGGTGTATCGTTTCAAGGGCGACATCTCGGTGTTACCATGCATCTCGTCGTCAAACAACCGTAAATCTTTCATCAAAGCTCGAGATTTCATCATTCCATCTACACATGGATCTCATCCAAGATGGTCTTGTCTACTCATGACGGTTTGTCCATGGCAGTTGGCGCCGACTGTGTCTATGGCGACTTGTCTTTGACAGCTAGTCTATTGACACTTCATCTATGGCGGCTCGTTCGGGTGGTCCAGAACATTGTCCACACAGATCATTCGCGTAACCATCCTGGAAGTCCGAGTGGAATCAGAAGACGTCACGACTGCTCGTCCGAGACAGTTCGTCATATACATCGTCATGAAAACCTAACCAAGACAACTTGTCCATAACAACTCGTCCATGATACGAGTATGGGCTGAGTTCATTGTCTCATAAACCCTCTTCGTGAAATTCGCAGAGATCGATTGCATTTCTCTCAACGAACTGCGTCGAGGGGGGGGGGTTACTGTTGGAGTGGGTTTTCACCCCAACAAGGACCCATTAGACAATGAACAAGGCTCATTATGATGACTTATAATGATTTACATCAAGATAACATCATCTTTGTAATCATATTTTAATCTATATAATCCATTTTCTTCTCTTTTTCTCAATTTAATTTCATTATGATGACTTCTCCTAAACCCACATTAAAAATCTTAATGTATAAATCCAAAACACCATTTCCGGACGATGAGAAAGAATATAAGAACAAGTGATGATTGTTCGCTACAAACACAGCTTGACACAACATTGAGTCTGTCTTAAAAATGTTATAAGTAGTTTGCAATCATCTACCCAAAAAGAAGACCCATCTTGTTCTCTACAATGTTAGAACCAAGAGATTACCGAATGACCCGCATTACAAAATATATATATATATATATTATCCTACGAGTGATGGCCTGAAGCAATCACACAGTTATATGCCTTGATAACTCAAAAAACTACCTCAACTGATTCTGAACGACACAAAGGCGGCGTCACCTCCCTTGTTACAGCCTCTCCTTGCTAATCTTTTTCTTGAGTCTGGGAGACGCTCTCTCTTTCGTTCCATGTAACTTTCTCATGTTCCTTCCGGTCTCACCACCAGTCACATGGTAAACGACCTTTCTTGCACCAGAGCAACCTGTCTCGGTTTCTCCAATTACCTTCCTCTTTTTAAGACAAGTACCAGACGAATCAGTAGTAGTGCACTTCCTTTTAGCATTCTTCTTTTCTCTTTTTTCAGTTGCTGTTGCCTCCTCACGTTCTTTCTTTACCTTCTCATAAACCTGTTGAACCATACTTGCAGCAAAAGCTGCACTGCTGGTTCTTGAGAATGCCCACTTAGAGTTGCTGAATACACTTGAAGTAGAATCAGCTGACTTTGGATCCAGGTTTCGCTTTGCACTGTTGAGACGACTCCAATGGCTTAACATACCCGGTTTAGGGACCTGTACTGCTGAAAACGACTGTAGACAGTTAGGACACAGAACGTTACAGTTGACACATGTTCTAATATACTCGTACTGCGTCATGCATCTCCTACACACTGTCCAGAAAGTATCTGACTCAGCTGGAGTAAATGAGCTCGGTGCTGTTGTATGATGATCACTCCGTCCTGCATTACCAACTGGCTTACTCTTCTGTGTAGGCGGCGGATTGTTCTTCTTCTGAGTTGGCACCGGATTGCTTTTCGGAGCGGGCGGCGGCCTAACATTTGAACCAAAACTAGTGTTGGGGAAATTGCAGAAGCCGCTATTAGAAGAAGAGACTGAAACCTTGTGATACATTGTGTACAAACTCTTCTTACGATCATAAGCTGCTCTCTTGTCCTTATCAGACAAGAACTTCCAAGCTTCAGAGACATGCTTGAAAGCTCCATCGGCTCCAACAGAACTGTTTTTATCGGGGTGAAGCATCAGAGCGAGCTTCCTGTACTTTTTCTTCAACGTCTCGTTATCATCTCGGGGGTTGGCGTCGAGTATCCCGTACCAGTCTGCTTCCCCGTTTAGTTTGGTTTCAGCAGCGATGAAGACGTTGAAAGTAGCTAACATCTGAGAAACACCTTCCATCTCTGGAAAGAGAGTTTGTGCTTTCACGGCGAATTTCTTGGCTCCGGCCAAGTCTTTCATTTTGAACTTGTTCTCTGCGATTTCTTTGGCCCTTAAGGCCTCGTCTCGGTTGCACTCCATTCAAATATCTCTAGGAAGTAATGTTTTGCTTCAACACAATTAAAAAAGGGTAGAAAATGTTACTTACTTACATACAAACAGGTAGCAAAACAAGAGAAACCAAAGTAAAACCTAAAGAATAAATAAACCCCATTAACTCCAATTGCCGATTAACAAACGATTTAGAAAGCTAACCAACTCAAGGAAACTTCATCAAAAGAGATGAATCTAAGACCCTAGACAAGAATAACATCAAAACCCCAACCGATTCCTAATCGAATAACCCTAGAGGCAGACAATGTCGAAATACGTGAAACAGAAATCGTGTGAAAAGGCAACAAGAGAATACCTGAGAGTTGTGATGGTGATGCAGGTTCTAAGGGTCAGAAGAAGAAGAAGAAGATGGAGAGGCGACTAGAGAAAACGCTAGAATTCCATTTTCACTCGCGTTTCTGAGTTTTTTTTTTTTTTTTCTGTAGCTTGCCTAACTTTTTACATTCATCTTTGGAAATTTTGTATACCCACCCTCCAACTATCTACGTTATTATTTAAGCATCCCTAATCTTGGGCCTCGGCTGGGCTAAAGTGTTCAATCCGAATGCAGATTCGGATTTTTTGGGTTTTCCATATTTCGGTTTAAAAAGGTTGTTTTCATATTTATACCATATCTATTTTGGTTCGTTTCGAATTATATACTAGCGGTTTTTAGTTATTTGGTTTTATGCCAAACACCATAACTATATTTACTTTTTTACAAAAAGATATTTTGAACATGTACTGAAATACTTAAAATACTAGGATAAGACCTGCGCATGATGAATATATGTAATTAAAATATAAAATTTTAGTATTGACAAATTTAAAATTTACATATGATTGTTTTTGTATGTATTTGAAATTTAAGAATTTTGAAATTTTTATATAATTATCTATACGTAGGATCAGAAACAATTTTAATTAGACATGTAGATCAAATCTTAGAATTTAATGGATCTGTTTTCATATAACTTTTCATTTTTCAGTGTTCGAGTGATGTAAAATAAATGGCGTGTTACTGCGCTTGATTGGTAGTTTATTAGCAAGTTCCCTAATGTTTTTTTAAGAAGCAATTGGTAAAATATTTGCATTTAAAATATATAAAGTTTCAAAACTAATTTAATATGATTTATTTATCTGTCTAATAATATTAGAAAATTATATTTTTTACAAATTATTATTTTTAAAAATAATTTATAAGAAAATTATGTTAATTTTTAAATTATTTTTAAAACAATATTTTAAGTTTTTCAAATACAAATAAATAATTTAAAATTAATTATGGTCATGATTTAACATAACCATAATGATTTAAAAAACTGAAAAATGAAAAATTAACAAATTAAAAATTAACTCAGTTTTATATCAAGATTTAACAATTTAAAAATTAATTATGGTTATGAGAAGTTTACGTTCACGTGTCAGTCCTATTTATCTTCCATTTTTCTCTTGCTATGTTTTTTTTATATTTTGGTTATTGCTCGATATAAATATTTATTTTGAATTTTATTCTCATTTCGTTTGTTTTAGAAAATACTTAAGATTTAAAATAATTAAAGAGATACATACTTAGGTTAAGATCTGCACTTTATCCACAATAAGTATTTTATATTTTATTATTTATTTCATATTTTTCTGCATATTATAAATAATAAAATAATAAATATATATTAAATAACTAAGAAATCAGTTACTATTATGTAATAAATTGGTGTATGCATATAAATTTAATTATTACTCTTGTTTATTCACAGTTAGGGTAAATAAAGCAAAATAATCAATCTTATATATTGTATATGATATATAATTAAATTTAAATGATATAAACATAGTAATATAACACACTTTTAATATGGATATTAATTAAATGAGGTTTCTACTTATATGATTTTATGATTATTTACATATTTGTGTAACAAAACTTTACACCAACGATTTTTTTAAATGTGAGATGTTTAGTAGTTTCAATAATTTATAATCATTTAAAAAAAACAATGACATATTTCAAAATTAAAATATTAACTTTTCAATATATGTTCAAGGCAAATATCAAAATATAAGTATGTATTTTCATACGATGTATAGTTTAATTAAAATGATACTAAGTATATATAAACTAAAATTATTTCTTCATATGGTCTTATAATCATTATATTTTAGTATAGAAAAAAAAATTAAAACCTTGATCATAAAAGTTTATATGTGACTTTTAACAGTTTTAGTAATTTATACTCATTTTGAAAAATTCGAAATACAACATACACAAAAAAAATCTAAATTTTTATTATATGATTAATGTAATTGTGTAATTTATTTTCATAATAAAGAAATAAAAAAAATGAAAAAAGTATACAGATTGTTATCAAATCTTTATTGTTTAAAATCATTAATTGTCATATATATATTTTGATCACATTAGGTAATTCTGTAGGTTTTATTTAAGGAAAGCATGTGAAACAATAAATATTTGATATATGCGACCAACTATAGCCTACGGAGTATTATATTGCTAGAGAATATTATTTTTAAACTATACATTATATCACATACTCCAGAATTCTTAGGATTTGAAAATAAAAGCCAAAGAGCTATGCCACGTAGGATTGGGGTTATTTTTAATTCTTACAAACTTAAGGTTACAACTTTTTAAATGATTCTCAAATAATATATAGGGGATACACAAATTATTAAAATTAAATGTCTAAATAGCTAAACAATACTCGAAACACCAAAAATAATTGGAATATCTATTAATTTCATATCCAAATATTTAAGTTAAACAAAAATTTATGTTAAATTTAGATATTTGGGCATAAATTATTCAAATTTAGATATTATATATTATTTTTATTTTTATATTTTGAAAAATTTAAAGTATATATGAGTTTTGAATTTTAAAAATAATTTAAACGGGCAATCCGAACCGAACTCGCAAAGATCAGAAACAAAACCAAAACATTTTAACAAACCATCTATTAAAAACATAACATATATATATTACATTAATTAATTTTTATAAAAAGTACTTATAACAAAGATTTGTTATTTATTATAAGTTTAAAAATTAAAACCTTATAAATTTATACTAATTATCCAAAATCTGCCAAGTAAATCTTAAATATTATCGACTCAACAAATATAATTTTTATAAAATACTGTAAAAATATAATTAGAGAGAGAGTCTAAAAGGGCATTCGGATCAAGTACGAATATGTTTCTTGTGGGTATGGATCATGTAGGTCCTAGACATTTGGACCTAATAAGATATTTGATTTTTTTTTTTGGTTGGCTTGGTTTCTATGGGTCTTAGTGAGTTTGAGTCCATAATTCAAATACCTATAAAATACTTATAATTTTTGTGTACGTAATGGATCCAAATCGGTTTGGATATTTTAGGACCCAGAAAAGACTTGACGTATTTGAACGTCCAAAAATACCCAAAACAGGAGAAATCTTGAAAACCCAAACAATATGATATTCAAATACTCAAAAAGATTAGAAAGTTTACTCGAAATCCAATCCAAACCCCCCCCCCAAAAAAAAATTACCCAAGATTTTATCCAAATACCAAAATATATATTTTTAAAAAAATCAAAATTTACTATAGCTAAAAACTCAAACCTAAAAATAACAATAAAACCAAAAATATTCAAATTACCTAATTATACCTCATTTAAAAAAAACATTTCAAGTACTTTGGGTAAATGATCGAGTCTCGGATATGACTCGAACTCAAATAGAGATCCGTGGGTTCCAAAATATCCAATAAATATTATTACCTAAACCTCAACTGAACCTGTATTTTATCAATTTTGGTTTGTATTTCAGCATCCGTGTACAATAGTCATGCCTAAAAGAGAGTTAGATAAGTAAAAAATCCCAAACAAAATTATTCATAAATTATATAATTGTTTTAAAAAAATAGTTTTTGGTATAATAAAACTTTGTAGTATAATAATGCACAATAATTCCAAATAATTTCATATAAAATTTTGTTTATAAATAAACAAATCTATGTTTTCGAAGTGCGTATCAAAATCTAGTGTTATAATTATAATATATGAAATTAACCTAAAGACATCACACATACGGAAATTAGTTCATTGATATTATTTTTGAGAATTTTGAAGATTTTAAAGTTTATAGTGAAGTCCAATCTATTACATATATATGTGATAATATTAAGGAAATATTAAATTATAAACACACAGATTCATAAACATGAAACTATGGGTGTAGGTTTTCTAAAAGAAGTCTACATAAACTAAGTTAGCATATATGTCCGCATATGCATACGTAGAAATAATTTCTGCGTATATTATATTATACCCGCATACTGTAGCATATATGTCCACATTTATATTAAACCGTATATAAGTGTTAGTCAAAACCATAAAAACATGAAAATAAACAAAATTAAGTAAAATCATGGAGAATGTGAAAAATAAGCTAAATCAATTTTAAAATAATAATATAGATATAAATATGTGTTTTGGTGGATAATGAAATATGTAAAGCTATATTTAAAATTTAGTTCAATGTATAGATACATATAATAAAGTTTTTTAAATTACTGAACATGGAGAATGCGACAAATAAGAAAACTTAATTTTCAATAATAGTATATATATAAAGATGTTTTTTGGTGGATAATGAAATATATAAAGCTATATTTAAAATTTATTTCAATGTATAGATAAATCTAATAAAGTTGTTAAATTACTGAACATATTTGAAATTTAATAATATTTTAATAAGTTAAATATTTTTAATTAAAACCAACAAAATCAAAACATATTAAGTTTTCTTTTTAAGAAGAAATAAAATAGTGTAACATTATTATTTTTGAAAATGAAAAGTAATTGTTTTAATTTAAACTAATTTAAATACAATCAGATTAGAATATTAAACAAGTAAAAAATTACAAATTATTACTTTATAGCTTAATAATACTATTGAGCTTTAAGACAAAATATAATAAACTAATCGAACTCCACCTTTCTCCTTCACTATGCGACCCTCCGTGTTCTCATCTTCGTCGGCGCGTGACTTCTGAACGTATTTGAAATTTAATAATATTTTAATATGTTAAGTATTTTTAATTAAAACCAACAAAATAAAATACATTAAGTTTTATTTTTAAGAAGAAATAAGATAATATAACATTATTATTTTGGAAAATAAAAAGTAATTTTCTTAATTTAACCTAATTTAAATACAATCATATTATAAAACTATAGTAAATAAAAAGTTACAAATGATTACTTCAGAGGCATAGTCTAATAATAATATTGAGCTTAATACAAAATATAATAAACTAATCGAACTCCACCTTTCTCTCTCAGTAAAGCGAACTTCCGTGTTCTTAGAACACCTGCAATGAGAGTCTTTAAGGGGGAATTCTTAGGGAAAAATAATTAAAGAATCAGTGGACCCTACCGAAAGTTAAGGATTCAAT